AGAGGACAGTGTTTCTTCACAGTCTTGTCTTCAGACATTAACTGAACTGGTTCACTGTTTAATGTATCGACACTCAGGTTTCCCTGAATTGTATGGACCAGTCTTGGATTGTCTACAGGTATCCATCTTGTAAATCTTTACTTTATAGGCCTCTTGCAGCTCATTAACAGGACTACAACTGTTAGTAAAAGTAATGGATTTTACTTACATGTAATAAGGTCCAAAAGAGCAAAAATCTTCTCCAAGCTTCTTTGATTAGTCTTCTTCATGGTTCTCTGAGCCACCTTGAAACCATGGCTCTGCATTGCAGAAAAACAATGGCACCACATGCAAGGATAGACACTTGTGAATATTTACCTATCGGTGCAAAGATGGGTTTTCTCTCTTCACTGGAAATGTACAGGTTACATTTCAATATGTTGAAGGGAACCATGAAGGAGAATACTTAATGATATAACATATGTGATATAACTATGTAATAGCACAGCACACAGCACAGCATGGTCACACAATTTGGTCCTAAAATTTTGCATGTCYAGTAATGGCATTGCATGTAAAAATCTTCATAGTTCCRCTGCAACCTAGCTGTTGCACAAAAGTGCCATAGATCTTTCTTCCTCTAAGACTGTATGCAACAGGGATCATACTTTATCAGTATTTCTTTAATAAATTGCATATTCATTTTTTTTGTCAGGACTTTCATAAACCATCAGAAGCAATGATCAAGAAATGGCTGACACAAACAGCATGGGCAGCTCAAGCCATTCACATGAACTTAGCTAGAGTGACTCCCAAATCAGAAACAGGACGAACTGGACTTGTGAACCTTGGCAATACATGTTACATGAACAGCATAATACAGGCATTATACATGCTAGATGAGTAAGTCATGATTGCTTGCTATGTTGTAGGCCCTTTGAAGGTGGGGGTTACGTCACCACAACTACCTTTGAATCTTTCATCTACAACAAACTGAGTCATTACATTGAGTTTCTTTGTTATGTTGACATTCAATTCGCCGATAACAAAATGAGCTGGGAAATGGGACAGATTTTCTCAAATATGATGGAATTTACAGATAAGCAGGACTAGTAATGGGCTCCTGAGATAAACCATGCCATGAGATAGAAAATAGCTAATGTTGACAATTTGAGCAAGTATTTCTTTTTTCTTGATTTAATAGGCATAAAATCACAAAATTAAATGACAATATTTTAGAATTGCAAAGAATATATATTTTTGGCTGCACACCATACATTTTATTGTAGTTTTGGGATGTTTTCAATGACCATGACTTTGTTGCTATAAATTCAAACATCATGAAAATTGGTCAGCCTTTTTTATTCTGTTCTTTCGCAATATGATGGGGCTAGATTTTCTAGAATCACTTGGACTCAGTCCCCTTTTCCTTTTTTTATCGGCCAATAGACCTTTGAAACTTTCATGTCACTCCGTGATTTGCAATGCATTTTTGGGATCAGTTTCTGAAGAACAAAAAATCATCCATCTTGTGTCCCAAACGTATCCTACAATGCACTCGGCGTATGCGGTACATGACGTAAAATATTCAGAGGTCAATTTCTCTTTGTTGACCATTATTCCAAGCTTTATAATAATACAATGTTTGGATGTGACATGAATAAAGTGAAGAAAATATCTCGAGACAGCCACACACTTACCACACGAACACTGTGATAGCTGTGTGGTCGATCCTTGTGGGACAGTGGTTAACACATCATACAAGTATACCAAGACTGTGGGTTTGTGTCCTACCAAGAGCACGTTATAGTTCTCTCGTATTTCGCCTCTAAAATAGTTATTTTATAAAAACTTATTTTAAAAATATTCTTTGCGTTGGAGTGATAAAACTGTGAAACAAGTCAAGGTGTAAGATATATATATATACCAAAAAGGCAATGAAAAACGCGCACAATAAAAAATCAAAGAGTAGCATTCTAAAGTATTAAAAGTACCCTAGTAAACAGTAAACAATCTTTATTTTTGTCTA